AATTAGAAACAGCATATAGACATTAAATAAGCTCGGAATCAAATCATTAATAATTTTCCTCGTAAGGTAATTAAAATGTGAATAAGTTTTCAGTTAGAAAATGAAATAACATAGTCGAAATTAAATCAAAACATAATTTTTGGCATATCAATCACACCTTCTAATCCAAAACTTAACATACGCAAATCAACTATCAAGAAAAATATTATTTAATTTTTTAGCCTTATTAAGATCGATTATTTTGATCATGATAGGTTCGTTGATCGGCATGATAATAACATTCACGCGGTGTTCAATATCATACTCCCTTTAAAAATACGAGTTTGAGAAAATCTTTTCATGGTTAATATTACCCTTAACTTTTTTTGAATATTACATTGTTATCCTAATCTATTTTAATCATCCTATCTTCTTTGAATTGGTAATTAAATAATTTATCCTATTCATAATGATATTTAACATGTTATTTGATAAAGGAGATACATTTGATATAATTCAAATCCTTTATTTATGGGATAGGCACACAGTCTACGACAGGTGAGCCCATAAGTATACGTTCACCAAGGATGGCGAGCAGTTCATATTTCGTTCGACATCTCTTCCACAGAAAACTAGCTTGGTGACGGTAACTCAGGCGAAGAGGCTAGTTAATGCAAGCAAAAAGTTTGCATTGTTATTCATTAGACCTTATAGGGACCAGCTGAGTAGGATATGCTTGACCACCTTGAGCAGGCTTCAGGAGGGAGATCTTGGCAGGTTGAAGGCCAAGTATGTAGACTTGTTTTTAGAGATCACGAGACTACTACCACGACGGGGTGTGGAACATGAGATTATGCTGATAGGCGAGAGCTCCTTGTCGAATATAGGTCTATACTGCATATCTGTACAGGAGTCCGAGGAGATAAAGAAGCAGGTTTAGGAGCTTCTAGAGACAGGAGTGATAGTGTCGAGTTGTTCACCTTGCAGGTCGCCAGTATTATTAGTGCCCAAGAAGAATGGAGACTGGCGTATGTGCGTGGATTACCGGACGCTCAACAAGATAACGGTCAAGAATTGTTACACACTACCATGAATCGATGATCTTATGGACCAGTTAGAGGGAGCAAGATTTTTCATGAAGTTGGATCTAAAGTTTGGTTACCATCAGGTGAGGATTCGGGAGGATGACACTTGGAAGACTGTGTTCAAGATCAAGCAGGACATGTTCGAGTGGTTGGTGATATCGTTTGGACTATACAACGCACCGGCGACCTTTATGAGACTCGTGAATAATTTGTTGCGACCTTTATAGAGGATTTTGTGATAGTTTACCTCGATGATATTTTGGTGTACAGCAGGACCTGGGAGGAGCATCTTGTTCATGTAGAGAAGGTGTTTGAAGTGTTAAAAAATGGATAACTAAAGCTCAACGGGAAGAAGTGCAGATTTGGGAAGGACGAGTTGGTATATCTCGGCTTCATCGTAGGGAAGGGCCAGCGGAGAATAAATCCAGGCAAGGTGGTGGTGATCACGAAGTGACCGACACCTAGCACAGTGACGAATGTGAGAAGCTTCATGAACGCTTGCCAGTATTTGCACAAGTTCATTTGATATTTTTTGACTTATGTGGCACCTTTACATGGCCTTACGAAGGCGAAAGTTCAGTTTGAGTGGGGGAGGACGCATGAAGAGGCTTTTCAGTTACTAAAGAGAAAGATCTCGGAGACACTGGTGTTGGCGTTGCCTAATTTGCATAGGACCTTTGAGTTAGAGATCGACACTTCTAGCTATGCTATGGGGCTGTATTGATACAGGATGAGAAGCCGATGGAGTACCATTTTGAGATATTCACGGGTGCTATTCAAAACTAACCTACCTACGATAAGGAGTTTTATGCACTTTATCAGGTGATCAAACATTGGAGAGTGTATTTGTTGGGTAAGGAGGTGGTTATGCACTCGGATCACAAGATATTAGAGTTCCTACATGCCGAGACAAAGCTGTAGCAGGCACGACATATAAAGTGGATGTCCTATTTGATGGTGTTCAACATTGTCATTAGGTACAAGAAGGGGGCAACTAACAAGTTGGCCGATATGTTATCTCAACCGCCAGTGAGGGCTTTATTGGTGGCGACGCGTATTCATCCCTTGGTTCCTTTAGAGTATGTGCAGATGTACACATCCAGTAAAGACTTCAGTAGTGTGTTCGAGCAGGTGAAGACTAGTCAAAGGGGGGAGTACGAGTATGGAGAGGATGGTTTGTTATATCGTAGGACATTGCTTTGCATTCCGAATGATGGTGATAGGTTGCAGTGGGTTAGAGAGGCACATACATCGTGTGTGCAAGGTCATTTTGGGATCCAAAAGACGTTTCTCAATCTACGATGACGTAACTTTTGACCGAAGATGCTAGAGGATGTTACCAAGTACGTTGAAGGGTGTAAGCTATGTTGCATTTCAAAGCCTTCTAACAGGAAGCAGGAATTGTACCTACCATTTCCAGTGCCTTCTAGACCGCAGAACAGCATTGTAGGTTGTCTAAAAATCACAATAGATAGCTGATCCCCATCAAACACCAGTGATGGAAGTTACAATCTGACGACTTCCAGAAGGCTACAATTTGAAGACTTTCACGTAGATCACTGAAGGTTACAATCTGACGACCTTCACGACAACCGATGAGAGCTCTAGTTTAACATCCTTCACCATCAACATCGAGAGTTATAATCTGACGACTATTGCATATCAAAGAGCTAAAGTAAAGATTACAAAATGACGATCTTTGCAACGCTTCAACAGAAAGAGACTACAAATCGACGGTCTCTTCAAATCAACCTGCGGAAGTCCTCCCCGCACACCAGCATCAAGACGCACCGCGTTCATAGCCACGAACGCAGCTCAAACGCAGCTCCAATCGCTGTCAAGCACAGTTCGAACGCAGCTCCAATCGCTGCCAAGAACGCAACTCAAATCAGCTCTGAACGCAACTCAAATCAGCTCTAAACGCAGCTCATGTTCGGCCGCAAACGCAGCTCAAAAAGCTGCAAACACAGTTCATGTTCGGCCACAAATACAGTCTCCGAAAGCTATCAACGCAGCTTTCACCTGCCGCCAAACGCAGCTCCCAAGCTGTCAAACGCAGCTTTCAACAAGATGCCAACGCAGCTTCCAAATAGCTGCGTCTGAGCTTCCAAACACTGCGTTTGAATGCAGAATTCGCATCAGAACATGGATTTTGCGTTTGACTCGTTCAAACACGAGCTAAACAGTTAAAACTCGTCAGAGTTATCAACTCGATCAGAGTTCAAAACTTACTCTACGAGTTCTTCTAAAACTCGTTCAGAGTTATCAACTCGTTAAGAGTTATTTTCAAACTTGCCACGCAAGTTCTCCACAACGTCAAATCGTTAGGAGAAGATCACGTTCCAGTGAATCAAGATATTCGGATCGTCAACGGAGAGCAAACTCGACGCGAGCATTCGAGGGAGGCATCTCATCGCCACCGTGAAGAACCCAGAATTAAACAAAGAAGAGAATCCAGATCATTCTCTTCTCTTTTGTAATCAGAAAATCCAATTGTAACTGAGATTAAAGGAATACAAATCAAAATTTCCTTTATTTTTTTTACTGCAAATTTTCCACCAAACAAAAGATGGCGACTCTGCTGGGGAAAAGCTTCTGTGACGAAGAAGTAGTGGCGCAATTCGATGTTCATCTCACTGGAACAACCGCCGAAACTCTCGT